CTAATTACATTAAAACAAAATGCTTTCGTGAACATTGAGAAAGGCTGGGGAGAGAATCAGACAAGCTATAAATTAAAGCAGAGGATATGAATACCATGCAAGCTGCAGTGTTAGGGTTAACGTGGGTCTGGAAACAGTTTAGTGAAAACCTGGTGTGGCTAGGGGCCAGCTCCGAGTTTAGTTGCTTTGGGCTAATCGTTTCCTTCAGGCAGGCTACTCTAGCACACTAATAGGTTTTAATAAAAACTTCCAATTGGGCCAGTAAACCCCTCATTAAGCTGTTTTTAAAGCATGAATTTAAGAGCGGCGAGGGTAAAAGGTCACGAGGAGTATTTAATTCACAACGGCTGGCAAAAGGTGCTGTTGTGATTGAAAACACCAGAGTTCAAGTGTCCAGGGCCACATAAACATCCGACTCTGTCACTAGACCTGGTTAAGTGACAGCTTGAAAAATAGATTTAATAAGACAGAGAGAAAAGTTTCCCACTCTTACACGAGAAATAGGAACAGCAGATCACAATATTAGCCAGGAACAGGAACAGTGGGTAAGCAACCCCGTCCCTCCCATCTCGGCATGGGGGGAGGATGAATAAATAGCAGCCTATGGCCATCTGGGTGTTCAACCCCGCAGCGATTCCCAGGGGCTCGCTGGGACGCTCGCGCCGCAGCTCCACGGTCTCCTGCTGTGAAGAGAATAAAGTTGTCCAGGAATAACACAGACCAACCCGTCCTCCACGTCCTGCTGCCAGTGTCTCTCCCACATGCCGTCTGTACCGGGGTAACAAGTGCCACCGGGTGCAGCAGGATCCTTAAGTGCTGCCATGCAAGAAACCACACCTCTGCCAGCAAATCCTCTTACCCTTGGGCACCCTCACACCCACCAGGCAGATGGGACTGCAGGAATCAAGGGGTGAGCTCTGGGCACAGCTCATCCCAGGCACATCCCCATCTCGGTACACTCTTAAACTAAGCTCTGGACCTGCACTTAGCGAAGTTTGACCTCAATCATTTCAACTCACTCTCATTTTCTCCCATGACTGCAGCGCCGCTCACTCGTGTGGTGCCACCAACAGGAAAACTTCACCCCTTCTGTGGAAACATGCGCTCACAAAGGAGAAACATCTCAACCTTGTATAGCAAGAGCCAGAACCCCAGCTGTGCACTCTAACATTTAATTTTATGTCAATGCACATCTAAAATTCAAGATCCCTGAAGACCTTTTAAAAGAAAATCCTCCTTGGAACAATTTGCGTTGAAGTAAAGAGTGAGGATTTAACAAGTAATGGAGAATTACATACACTCGGCTCTCAACTTTTTATTCTACTTCTAATCAAAACACACTTCATCTTAAATTCTGAGATAATAGATGCAATATAAAATCAGGGCGCAGGCATGGGTATGAAGTAAATTATTTGCTTATTCCATGTTTACAGATAATGGAAAAAAAAGCTAGGACTTTAATTCAACCTTCAGTGATTGTCTTCTCTCCATACCAAAATTAACAAGAAAGTTTACTGTTAAGAGAAAAAAAAAAGGTCTTATTTTTAAAATATGCTTCTAATTCCAGCCATACAGTTGGCCTGCAAAGAGTGCAGAAGCGAGGCTCTCTGGAACAATCCCCAAGGAAACATTTGCTTTGGCTCCAAATAGGACACTTTTGTGCATCAAGAGTCAAATAAGATCAGCTGCTTCTCAATCCTTTCTGTTTAATGATCCCATTGATAGCCAAAAGGTAAACAGATGCATTTTGGTCTGTTCTGTGTGTTCCTCGCTGGGAATCCAGATTGCAGCTCCGAGAGGTATCCGACAGCCATGGAGGTGACGATGTGGAGTCAGAATCTCCCCAAACAGTTACATCATTTTCCACACCACACCTGGATTTTTACTTTACAGAGAGACACGGCTGTCCATTACAACTCACGTGGCCTTTGCAGCTTTTCTGCAGCTCTGCTTAGCTCCCCACTGGTATCTCAGGACAGACTTAGGGCCATCAAACCATCTTCTGAATATCTGGGACTCCTTAACACAATAAGGCAGAACAGAAGAAAGAGGATGAGAAAGCCTGTAAGAAAGCATCATCTTTTTCAAAGCCTCTGTTAGAACAGAGATAATAAATCACTATATTAAATCAGCTTTCACTGGGGAAAAAAAAGATGTCCTTGGGGGTATGTCAGACTGAAGCATCATCAGAAACTACTGCTCTTGGAGAGCGCATCCTTGCTCAGAAAGAGTCAGAAACAGCAAAGCTGTCAACACCACAAATCTGCTGAAGCAGCTTTGGTCTCATTCTAAGCCAAGAGAAAAGACATCCTTAATTTTAAAGAATAAAATAACAAATTGACCTTGCTGGTTCCTTTTAGTCCCAGCACCACAGCTGCAACCTTCACAGAAAGGGAGATCTGTCACTTCTGGAGCTGAGCCAGGACCAAGTGTGCTGAGTGAGGCCAGGTGGCTCGTGGTGGCACACACAGGTCACCAAGGCACCTAGACAGGAGCTTGAAGGAGCTATGGAGGAAAGGTCTTGGTACAGCAAAGCTCAAGGAGGAGATTTAGGCTGAGGATGAAGTTGCCACAAAAGCCAGGTCTCCAGGAGCAGCCTGGCTGCTGGCCCTGCAGGTGCATTCCACCGAGGACAGGCAGTACATCCATCCATCCATCCATCCATCCATCCCCAAGACTCCCAGCAGCCTCAACTCTGCTAGCAAGGACCAAAGCAATCCAGCATCCTCTGGCCATTGAACAGTCCCAGCAGAGCAGAGTCCACACTCAGAGCACCGCACTGCCAGAAACGGGGAGAAAAAGGGGACATCCTGTGCTCCTGTCTGCTGGCAGGGAACCTCACGCACCTGAGCTGTGCCTGTCCACAGGGAGGGACCCAATGTCAAACCGCTCCATGCTCACTGAAACACGCCACGCTACATCTAGAGCCAAATTTATACCTGAATAACAATAAATAAAGCTGAGGAGTTATTACAGCTCGGCTAATTTCAGAGCAGCGCTGACCCTCAGGCCGGCGCCCGCTCCAGGATTTGCATTGCCCAGCACCTCTTCACCTTTCAAAGATAAATAGTCCAACACTTGGCGCTGTGAAAGCTCTTGCACGGCTGTTTCACGGTTCATTCCCCAAAGTGAGGAGTGTTTTTAATAACTGTTACCTGACAGGAGTAAGAGCAAAGAGCAAAACCTGTGGCAATACCAGTTGATCCCATTTGGCCTAACAGCTTGTTGTTATTTCCAGACTCTGGAGTTCTTTAAAATTCATAGGGACAGCCTGCAGTTTTAATAGAGGCTACCAAAATCCATCCTAAGATGTATCAAAAAAAGCACACTTCCTGGAGGGGAATAGGAAACAGTCAGCATTTACAAAGATCTCTCCAGGAATTTTTGTTTTTAAGATCTTGCTTTGAAGTAGATGCTACCAAAGAATAAGGCTTCCAGAGCTCAGCAATATTTAATGTACTTCTACAGCAATGGATGACAATGTTGTTGTTTCAGCTATATTATAACAAAAATATTGTGGTTTTCCTGTATTCTAACAAAAGTAACTCAAGATTTACATCTCCTTCATCTTATTCAGAAGGAAGGGAGAGACCCTACTGCGTACAAAGGACTTCAGTAATCCTCATAGGGTGACTATCCAGTGGGGACATAAAGAAACGCCAAAGAAAGATAAAACACCACTTGCAAAAAGCAGTTTTTCTACAACCATCAGCAAGAGTGGAAAACATACACAGAAGATAAGTAACTTCAGTTACTAAGATGGGTGTCCTCACTAACCCAACAAAAGCGTGGATTCATATTGTAAAGTCCAGATGGTTAAAAAATCCACATCTGATTTGGAAGTATTATCTAAAACACACAGGAGTAGAAACAATTCTCCATACTCTTCTGCCTCTCCACTTGGTGAAGCTCCATCTCAATCCCACATGCACTAAAGCAACACATCCACCTACAACTGTTTAAATGATCAATCAGTAACAAGGAGACGGATGCAATTCCTTGAAGGAGAAGGGGAGGCATCCTCAGTCGTTACTTTTGCAAGCCTCCGTAACACACAGACACAAATGGACTTCAGCTGTTCTTGTGCCTTGTATTAGCAAAGCCAAATTTCCCTTTGTGACTGGCCAGTGACAACTTGGGAATACTAATCCCCTTTTCAGCCACACAAGGACACTGCATCCTTTTCCACCCATCCAACAGCACAAGTACCTGGATGAAGGGATGAGAAGACACGACCAAATAGGCTGTTTTAAGACATTACGCCATGGTAGCACTTCCCAGAAAATCAGACAAGTACCTGGATGAAGGGATGAGAAGACACAACCAAATAGCCTGTTTTAAGACATTACGCCATGGTAGTACTGCCCAGAAAGTCAGAAGTACACTAGCAGTTTTCATAATATTTCCACAGAGAGGGATATTTTCTACCAGGATTTCTAACTTTCCATTTCGACTCTGGCTGTGTGTTGGAGCACTTAAGGCTTAAGAAAAACCCCAACCTGTGCAAAGCACGAATCAACTTTCCAGGCCTCTAAGGGAATAATATCTGCCCCTCACACTTGTGGGAAAGCAAATGATATGAGTAAGAGGTTCTTGACTTGATACAAATCCCCACTGGAAGGGAAGTGGAATTTTGGGCAACCCAAATTTGGGTTCCCTCCCAGGGGATGTCCTTCAGACCTCGCTTCGCTTGGTTCCCTCAGGCTCATTTAACTATTTGTCTTCAATGTCCCCCTCCTAATGATGCTGTTGGTACTTACACAACCCTTCCACCAGGCCTCTTTCAATCTCAAAGTACAGAATTTTCACTAGTTTTCCTTTCCTTAAAGGCATACGGGAAGAAAAAAATTAAGTGAAAGGCAGAAAACTGAGACAATCAAACCTTAAAGATTTGACAGAGAAAGACAGAGAAAGCAAGCTAGAGTAATGTAAAAGCTACATACCCACAAATGCATCAATAAATTATTACTGCAGATTTTTTCTCATTTTTATTCACTTACCAAAGGAATACCTGCAAAACAAAATGAAGAAAAAGCAAAATAATTAAAATCTTCGTTGATCAATTGTAGGAACCTATGTCTCTCACTAGTTTTATTTCAAACTTCACACATTTTGATTCTGTCAAGGAGTATAAAAACATGACTGAACCACATAACATGCAACTCAAAAGGCACTAAATGATAAATTTCTGTTACCTGGAAATGCAAGAAGAGCAAAATCAGTCATTTCTGGGCAAATTAAGCTGTTATTTAGCACTCCAAGTAACTGGTTACCTTTCTTTCAGTAAAGATGCTAAAGCAGCATAGCCAGAAGAGACAGCACAGTCCCAAATCACAGCCAACACTGAGCTTCACGAAAGGCTGCTCCTCACCCTTCCTCTGACTTGAGAAACTCCTCTGAGAGAGCAATCTATTGACAGTGCAGCTTAACCAGCTTCTACCACAAGATCTTTCACTGATGGTTTCCAGAGCGTGCTAAACACCTCCCAGGCAGAAGGTAACAACTGAAGTTGTTAAAAACATGAAGCTTAATGCACACTTCTGCGCTGGCAAGGCCCTACACTGCTGAAAAGCAAGAAGTTACTTCTCGCTGGTGAACCGTTCATTGGGTTTTGTTTTCTTCCATTTTGAACACAGGGAAGTCTAGCGTGATGCCATCTGCTCGCTGAGCGCTCTGTAGGAGGTGCCCCTCAACCACAGGGAAGTCTAGCGTGATGCCATCTGCTTGCTGAGCGCTCTGTAGGAGGTGCTCCTCAACCCTCAGTGCCTCAGGAAAAGGACACACACTTACTGTGCCGTTTTCACGTGAATTTCTGCCACAATCTGGTGCATCCTTTAACTTGCTTTTAAACTGGTCTTACTGAAATTACCTTCAGCCTTAACTATAACATACTGATTTTCTGTAAGATTACCAGTTCTGATCAAAAGTAAAACCTGGTGTTTAATAAGTTTTAAGATGCTGTTCTTCAGCAGACAGCTTGTGTTTAGTCCCATTATGGCTTCAATCTCACATCAGGGCTTTATTATTTGTATCTGCAGCATACTGCATTACATTAACCAACAATAATCTAAAAAATAAAAAACAGAACCCCAGAACAAAAAAAATACCCCAGGCCTTTAAAGATTTTCAGAAAGATTTGCTCTCACTGAAAACATCTTGAATAGGTGTGCAAATTTTACACTCGTACACATGTAGTTCGAATATTTATACAATTCATCAATCTAAATATTTTACTACATATTTCACAACAATTTCATACAGGGCTACTGACGTAGAGAGAGCAATAACTTTAAAATGCAGAACAAGTTTTAACTTTCTTAATAAAAGTGGCTCTTTATAAAGATATCTGTCATTAAGGGCAACCTAACTTTGCTATTCTCCACCACAGTTGTGGTGCAGTTAAACATAAACTTGTACGAATTATTCTTATTTCTTGGCAGAAGTTAAGAACCCCCTGAGGCTCATTTAAAACACACACACACAGACACACACAAAATGAGGAATTAATAAAATATTGTATTCTTCTGAACCACATTAAGTTTTCTGACGTGTGTCTGTTGCTGATTACATCAATCTAGGCTCCATAACTTGTCATGTGATGACAGGCAAACACTTGTGAATTTATTTCTCTGAAGAAGCCTGTGATACAAATGCCAAGGAAACCAAACCAAATGGGCCACTCCAAATACATAAAAGCAGCAGGGCTTCTTGCAGGTTTTTTTTTTTTTTTAAAGTAGGTACAAACAGGCAGGTACCCGATTCCCACAGAATTCAGGTTGGACTTTGGAACCTAATTACCATTTTTCCTTTTCAAGGTCCTCTTCCTGGCTTATACAGAGTAAAGAGAAGTGTTTATTCAAAATATGGGTATTTTTTTCCTACTGCCCGCCTTGGCACTTGAAACATTACCAACAGATAATGACAAGTAAAAAATATGGATTTGATTTTGCGGGTTTGGGGTTTTTTGGCAAATATCAACAGAGCAACTTCTGATCTGCACATAGTCAAACCCAGAAATTTTACAAATTCAAAGTATATTCCATTCGGATTTTCTAAATCAAATTAAAACACAATGTCATTTCTGTTCTCTGTTTGGGGAAACATTGTCATTAGCCATGACTTGTCATTACAGCAAGCTCCATGTCACTTAGAAAGACTGTAAGTATCAGCTGGGAATCATAAACATCATCAAATATTTGGGTTAAATTGTTTTCAGCACACTGTCATGGTGATTAATTCGAGCTCAAGTGTATTCCTGGAAAGCAAAAATTGATAGCAAAGCGTAGTCAAAACTACATTAAACTACATCACTCCTGATGAAAATACTTTCTACCGTCAGTGCCTGTGGCAGAGGCAGCGTGGACCTGAGATGAGTTTGAAGACTCAGCTCTGCAAGAGCTTCCTGTGTCTTCAAACCATCACTGCACAAACAAACAGGGAGGTCCCAAACCAACCCAGCAGAAAACACCACCTTTTCCGTACAACATCTTTTTTTCCTGTGTGCAAAGCATGTGGGATGATGGTTTCTGTTTGCTCAAGGAGGACGAAAAGCAGATTGGCCAGACTTGCCCAATAAATTTACATTCTTTCTCCACTCACCTACCCCACAGCTACACAGATTATTTAATACAAGAGGTGTCTGGGACAGGGACTTGTCTTACAAGTCTACAAAACACGACAAAAATTCTAAATAGAGCCTATTAATAAATAGCATTACAACACAGACAGGAACTCATATTATTACATCTATTGATGCTTACTAAAAAAATGCATCTGTATTTATAATCCAAGAAAAAAAAAAAAGAACCAAACCAAACACTGTCCTACCCACCACTCACAGCCCATCAGTGCCCAACACCACAAGATCCTTCCAACTAAACTGATTCACACAGGCAGGATAATTCCCTGCTGCATCCCTAATCTGCAGCTGGTGTTAACAGCTTCTCTCACTGTTCTCCATGGAGAACATCCTCTACGGAAAGTGAACCCAGATGTCAACTTTCATCTCCATTCTGAATCTCTCTTATTCTCTGGGCTGTATAATTTGGGATGGGGGAAAAGGTATTTGGGTAGTAGAGACACATTTTCTATTCTCCATCAGGATACAGCTCCAAAATCTGCTGTAATGAGGTTTCCACAGCAGCACCTCTCCAGGATGGAAACTAGGTAGACCTCACACTGTGAAATAACCCTTTCCTGTGAAGGATGGAAATGTGACTTAGTAACTACCCCATTCTGCCCTCCAGTATCAAGCCAGGGAGAGGAGGAAGCAGAAGACCATCTCCACAGGAGATAACAGCAGCCTCAGACCCAGCGGGCAATCAAATGGATACATAACTGGTGGAGTGAAGAACTTCCTTCCAAAATATCAGTAACAAGGAAAACTGGATGAGCTGCCTGCCATAAATCCAGGTGTTGCATTAAGGGAAGGAAAAAGGGCAAAGCCATGGGGCTTTGTGAGGGTGGTGAGACACTGGAACAGGCTGCCCAGAGAAGCTGTGGCTGCCCCATCCCTGGAGGGGTTCAAAGCTGGGCTGGATAGGGCTTTGAGCAACCTGGTCTAGTGAGAGGTGTTGGCAGGGGGGTGGGAACTCAATGATTTTTAAGGTCCCTTCCAACTCTAACCATTCTATGATTCTAGATATAGAAAGTATAGAAAATCCACCTGCCCCAAGACAGGAGCAACTGTGTGAGAGTCAGCTCCGGGAGATGCCGGTCTAAACAGCAATGGAGACTCCACCTCCCACTGCAGGTATCCAGCCCAGTGTTCCTCCATATCTACATTTAGAAGGCTTTTCCTTATATCTAACCTGTATCTTCCTTCCCATGTAAACCAACAGCTTCTTGCCCTATCCACACGGAGACATTGAACACAGAGAAGAGCTCATTTCCATCCTCTCTGTTGCTTTCACACACTGGAAGATCTTTGTCTTCTTTCTCTGTTTTCCTTTTTCTCTCAACTAATCAAACTCGGCTCCTTTGGCTTTTCACCACAACAGGCCACTTTCTGCGCCGCCGCCGAGGCTTGTGCCTCTTCTCTGCCCGGCGTGGGGCCGAAGCCACTTCCAGCACAATGTGACAACCAGACACGAGATGCTGGCTGACACCTCCCAGCTCCGAGAAGTAGGAAACCTCATCCACTGCTGTCTTGCACATGGCACTCCTAAAAGTTACTGGTTTACGTGCCTGAAAGCTTGTTTGGTGAACCACAATATACCAACCAAATTAAAGCTGTAAACACTTCAGGGAAAAAAAAAAAAAAAAAAAAAATCTTTTCAATGTATATATGTGTACAGTACCTGGCACCTGGATACCCACTTCCTTAGCACATTGCCTCAAAACAAAGAAGCCAGTTGGCAAACCTCACTTGCTAGAGACTGAGAGTCCATCAAAATGAGATGACAGAATTAGTCTAGTGCACCATTAATTTCAGAACATCATTAACTTAAAAGTGTGGGGGGAAGAAACATTTTTGACAGCTGGTTTCAGTTGCTGCCAAGCCTTTAGTATTGCACAGCGGTGGTGGGGGGAGGAAATAAGCTAGAATGGTAGTAAATGAAACCACTCGTCTGGTTTCTGGATTCACTTTATTGTGGTCACAGATCTCTAAAAACTGGGATTCTGCGCTCTGTAATTACAACATCCACATTTAAATGGAAGGAACAGGGATAACATTAAAAAAAAAAAAAAAAAGAGTGCTCGAGGATGAGGTTTACTCCTCAGTTTGCACATGGTGCTGGCAAAGGTGCCTGAGCAGAGCTGGAGCCAAGTGGGGTATGAGGAAGGGCACGGCTGCCCTGCTGGAGCCATGCCGGGTGCTCACACCCGCACCCCGTCCTGCCCAGCCGCGGCACGGACGGGCACCACCACACTGCTCTCCCCAATGCCAAGCAAGTGGCAGCTCCCGAGTGGTCAGACGTCCAACCACCACTTGATTTTCCCCTTTTGCAAGGCCGGGACCCAGGCTTGGTTAAGAGACCAAATGTGAATTACCCAACTAAGCCCCAGCAC